TTGGGGAAAGGTTCTCAAAATGGGAACCAGTTAGCGCCTCATCATTTTGGAGTGAGACCCATGTTTGTGGACGTGGTAAATGGTTAAAAATCCTCAAAATGTAGTTAGAAAAAGACAGAAAGACCCATCCCATTGGTCATAGGGAAGAGTTTGTCTGGATACTAATGTGGTCTTGAGCAGAATCAAATAAAGCATGTGAATAGAAAAGATCATTTAATTTCAGTATTTTAGTTTTTCTCATTAATTTTATTATTGGTTTGAAAAGAAAGCCTGCCCCTGGTTTACATGTGATTTTGATTGGACACATGTTCTCAGGAAGCAGGCTACAAACTAGTAGAGCTATGTTCATTACCATACATGAAATAAGACAAATGGATTAAAATGAGCTAAAAAATTGATAATATCATCTACCATTATCCTTTCTTGTAGCATGTTGTGAACATGTGGATCTATTTAAAGGTTTCCTTTATGTTGGATAATATCAAAGACAGATCTGATGGATTTTATATAATAGGTTATTTCAAAGTAATGAATTAGCTGAACTAATGCCTTCTTACAAAATAAATAATTCTGAAAGAAAATAGATCTTTATTCTTAAATCCTCCTCCTTTCTCAATTAATTAGACTTTGTTGGGGAAAGGAAGTTAAGAAATTCAGCATAAGCCTGATTATATCATGAATGTAAAATGAACAAGGCAAATAATGGGCTCTATACTCTTTCAAACAAGTTAAATAAGTCCATAATAGCCCACCAGTTGTGTAAACACTATTTCACTATACTTGTAAAAGAAATATTGACTTACCTGTTAACTAAAATTATCCTGGCATGCTTCAACTAAGCTTATTAGTAATTCTTGTGGTATACATGAATGTTTTTAGTGGTGGACTTTTATCAAAGATTAAAGAATTAGGAAATATCCATTTAGCAAGCCAGAAAGTAGACATGTACCAGACCATAGTTTACCAGAATCCATTCTAGGACCTTGCAATTTAAGAATCTAAGAAGTAAAAAGTTATTTCAATCCTGGCATAAGATATTCCATTATACACCAGCTCATTAACACTGAGATACCTTCCAAAATTATAAATATGAATATATCACTGTTAGCTGAACAAATCTTTCAAACCATATCATTTTCTATGTTTTAAGTGCCATAAAATCGTGAGGGGTCATTAAGTCACTCTTAAATGTTCACATTTCCCGAGTTTTCAGAATTTTACTGGGCATTCTTGATTGCAAATGATCACAGCTTCATCCCACTAGCTAACTCATGCAAGTAAACAAAATTGGGGCCTCCCTGGTGGTGCAGAAGTTAAAGTCTCAGAGCTATCAAGCTATTGCCAGCCACGACAACATGAGATCCATCCCCAGACCAGGGAACTAAGGCCCATGGCGCAGCAGACCTCTCCTGTCTCACCTGCTACTTCCCTCAGCAGTGTATTTCTGTAGATCCACTTGTTCTGCTCCCCACTCTGCCTCTGGTGAATCCTCTCACCCCTTGCCCCCACTCCTCTGGCCTACACCCCAGTTCTTGTATGCATAAATAAATAAAAAATAAATATTTTTAAAAAAATTGATTCACCCAAATGGGAGGCACTGAAGTTTAATAGTTTTAGTTACAGGTGTCTCTCCTTGCTAATGCTAATGTTCAGTTCCCCCGTGAGCTTTCTCCACAAGGCAGAATGGCAGCCCCTGTGAGTCCCAGGTTTTCTTGTCCTTGTAGCTCATGAAGCCAGAAAAGAAGGCCTTCTAACTCCAGGGTCCATGACAAATCCCCAAACAAATTCAGATTGTTCTGTTTGATCATATACCTATCCAAGAGGCAGGGAGGTAGGGCCATGTGATTTACACCCCTTCTAGAATCACTTAAGGTCTGGGAGATAGTTCCCCAAAGAAAAAGTGTGGTGTGCTCTTACCAAAAGAAGAGAGGAGAAATGTTGGGAAAGCAACAAAAAGTAACAGATGCACAGGACGCCTCACTTCACCCACTGTAGCTTCCCCCCTCCCCATCTATTGAATCAGAATTTTTGCTCTACATGAATCTGTTAACAAACTTTTATTCTTGAAAAGGAAAAACACTAACACAGATTGCAACTATACTCTGATGTAGGCCAAGTTCCAGACATTTTAACAATCTAGGTGAATATTACCCCCTTTTGCAGAAAAGGAAACAGAGACAGGCTGATTCAGTGACCCTGATCAAACAGCTTGCAACTGACAGACTCTAGATCCAAATCCAGTTCTACCTCATTCATTCCACAACCAAAGTGCAATGATTTTTTAATTTTTTTTAGCAACCCTGAAGTCAAAGAAAATGTGACCAAAAGTCCTTAGACAGATGGTGGACACAAGCATATTTGGATGTCTATTTTGGGAAGTCAGTCTGTCAATAAATATTTAAGTACCCACTATCATGAATCCACAATATAAATTCTACAGGCAAAGTCCCTGCCTCCAAAGTTATCACAATAAAGATGGCAAAGCAAAACAATATGCATTCAAGAAAACGTTAGGCAAAACTGTGCAATATTATAGTCATCATCCTTGGAATTCCTGCTCAGAGTATGTCATCCCCTTTCATCTGCAAACTCCCTAAGGAGAGCTAACTTGCCTCTCCACGTCACTGCTGCATCCTAATTGTAGTTATTCTACAAATGTTCATTGATTGAAGATTAATGCAGACTACAATCATGGGGGGTTTCACAGAAACAATAGGGTCTTGAGTTGCACTTACAAAATAAGTAATATGAAGGTAGGTTTTTATTTTTTTTTTAAAGGCAGAAAAGTAGGCAACTAAGTTATTCTATAAATGTGGCTGAAGGAAAAAGAAATACTGTAAGAATAAGCAAAGGGTGGTAGCGGGTATGGAGCTACCATAGAGACAAGTGGAGGAGCAGAATACAACAAAGCCTTATGCCATGTCCAGAATCCTGGATTAACACAGTTTTTAGCAGCCACTGTCATATTTTCCAGAATCTCTAGATCACAGTTTTTTTATTTGCAAAATGAGAAGGATGTTGTAAATAAATCTTAGCCACCCTCTTTACCCTCTCATCCAGACAATCTCAAATTCGTGATGATAGGATTTACCCAAGGAAAGAACATGTTTAGAATATAGGTTTGGGTCCAGGAATCTATATATTGTTAAAAGTTTTATCGGTGATCAGCCAAATGTAAAGACCGCTCCTGAAATGGAGGGCAAATACACCTATCATGAAAAAATTTTTTTAAAAATCCTTCCACCTACACAATTCAGGAGTTTATATGGGAAATCGAGCAGGAGAGGCTACGCGGAAGATTAAGGAAGGCCTTGAGGGCCTCCCTGGTGGAGTAAGGGGTTAAGCACAGCACTATGAAGCAATCCGCAGCCTCTGCAGCATGAGTTCGATCCCCAGCCGGCCAGGGAGCAACCCGCATGGCGAAACAGACCTCTCCTGTCTCGCTCACTCCTCCCCTCAGCAGTATGTTTCAGTCAGTCTGTCTGTTCTCTTCCCCCACTCTGTCTCTGGTGAATGCTCTCACCCCCCTCATCTCTGGCCTGTACCCCAGCTCTTGTATCCATAAATAAATAAATCTTTAAAAGAAAAAAAAAAAGGAAGGCCTTAAAAGCTTTCAGGAAGCAAGGAGGGCATTATGCCTGGGAGTGATAATTGTGCATTTTTGTGAGTTGATGTGGCACGCTTGGGCTGTCGCCTCTTCCGGCTGCTCACTTAGCTCTGGAGAGGGAGGCTTATACCATACGGAGGTCTTCTCTACAAGAGAACCCCAGACTTTTCCCTTCTTTCTTCTGTAGATTCATTATAGGACACTACTTGGGGGGCACCACAGTAACACTGATCTATAACATTATGCAAGTTTCATGTGTGCAGCATTACACTTGAACATCTGTCTACTCTACATCATAACAACCACCAAGAGCCTGGCTTCCATCCATTATGCACAGTGAATCCTCTTGACCCATTTCACATGCCCCAACCCTTGCACTCCGGTAAACCCCATTGTCTTCTCTGTATCTAAGAATTTGTTTTTATTTTGCTTGTTCGTTTGCTTTGTTTCTGTATATTGCACTTGAGTGAAATCATATTTCTGTAGGACAGTCTTTAAGGAGCATGAGACCTTGCCTTTTGCACTGGCCTTGGGCAGTGGTTCCCAGAGCCCCAGTGTCTCTCATCTGGGTAGGACTACAGTGAGTTAGAAATCTCTAGGATACTTAGGATGAAAAGGCCCTCTGTACAAAACCAAACCAAACAGTCATCTGTCTATCTGTCCAACATTGTTTAACTAAAAGTGACTTCCAGGGTCCTAAAACACTTTGAAAAAACAGTCCCTTCGACTCCCCGGGCCCGCTGAGTTACGAAGGCAGCCCTGGAGTGCTTGCTCGCGAGTTGTATTTATTTAGCGATTAACCCTGCGCTTTGATTTTAGGGCAAAAGCGAGTCAGACAGTGCGGTGTGAGGTGAGGATCAAAAAGGCCACCCATCGTTCCTCTGGAGACGCTTATCCTTACCCTGGTAAGGACGTTATCCATACCCTGATAACCTAACTATTTTTCTGGGTCGGATTTTAGCTTTTGTTTTGTTTTAAGCTCTCCACGTATCTTCTCCATTATTTGAAACGCGCGTGGGGAGACCATGACGCATCCTTCGGTGCCTGTCCGTCTGTGTCCGTCTGCGTCCCTCTGAAGCAGGTCGCTTTCGGCTTTCAGATCTGAGCGTCCAGAAGGCTGGTGGGGGTGAGGGCCGGGTCCCCTGCCCCTCGTGGGGCGCTGAGCGCCGACCTGGCCAGCGGAGCCAAAGCTCCAGCGCCAGCAGCTCGCCTGCACCTCGCGCCGCCTGCCGCTCACCAGCCCTGGACTCCGCAGAGGAGGGAGGGGACCCGCGGGGGGGAAAGTAAGGCTGGGCGGGGGGTGCCTGGAAAGCCGGGCTCGGCTGACGTCACTGGGCGCGCAATTCGGGCTGGAGCGCTTTAAAAAAACGAGCGTGCGAGCGGAGATGCTGCTCCACACAGCGCAGGCCGCCTGCAGCAGCAACGCGCTTCGCCCCTGCGGTGGCTGCAGCGAGGGCCGCTCCCCAGGCCCGCGTGGCCGCAGCGGGCACGGCCCGGCCCCGCCGCGCTAGTCCTCCGCGCCCCCGCCGGGGGGCAGGAGCAAGGCGCCCCGCGCTGCACGCGCCCGTGGAGCTGCAGAACCCGCCGAGTCGCGTCCGCCGCGCCACGCCGCGCAGCAGCCCCGACGGTGCCCTCCGACTGCGTCTCGCCGGCCGCCCTCTGCCCCGGCACCATGGACACCTCCTTCGTCTGCGCGCTGCTGTCCTTGCCGGTCCTGCTCCAACTGGCGGCCGGGGGCGGCTCCCCGAGGCCCAGCGCGCTGCTGCGAGGGTGCCCCCAGCACTGTCAGTGTGAGCCCGACGGCAGGATGCTGCTCAGGGTGGACTGCTCGGACTCGGGGCTCTCGGAACTGCCCGCTAACCTCAGCGTCTTCACCTCCTACCTGTAAGTGCGCTCCCGGTTCGTTCTGGGACGAGGGCAAAGGGAAGAGAGGGAACCCAGCATCAGACGGGGGGGCTCCTCCGTTCTCTGCAGCTTTGGAGGGAGCGGGAGAGTGTGCAAAGGGCATCTTGGACGTGTTGGGGTCTCAGGGGAAAATGCATGCGTCTCAGGGGGTAGTGCTCCCGCACTTTCTGAGCCCACAGTAAAACAGCTTCAAGGGCCACCCCGGGAAAGCACTGGTGAGCAGCAGCTTCTCTGTCCAGTTCTAGGCAGGTCGCAGGGCGCATTTCTGCGAGTGTAGACATTTACCTACGAAGTGGTCATTCGTGTCCCCGAGTCTGAAACCTAAGGGCAGGCTGCGGGGTCGGTCCCCAACCCACCCTTGCATCCTCGTCTGCATAGCGAATAGATGGGCCGCAAAAAGTTTCCCCAAAGGAGGACTCGAGCGTGCCCAGCTCCAAAGGAACTTCCTCTGCATCCCCTTGCATGGTCGTGTGATGTAACCTTTTTCTTTTCTTTCTTTCTTTTTTTTTTTTTTAAATGGAGCGATTAAAATGTGGCAACCACAAACCCCATTAGAGCTGCCAGAACGTTATCTTTACCTTTGGCTGCCCGAGCCGCCCTTTGAAGTGCCCGCGGCCGCGGTGTAATCTTTAACCATCTCCTCCTCCCGGGAGGTAAAGGGAAGTGGGCTGAAGGCGGCCGGGCGGGTAAACAGCGGCGCCTGCACCGGAGGGGAGACCTGGAGCTCTCTGACAGCCCTCGGGGATCCCTCGTCCCCACAACACAACCGACAGACCCCCCGCAGCAGAGATGAGGCAGAGGCTCATTTCATAACTGTCCTTGGGAAGCGCAGGCCTTGAGGGTAACAGGTGGTTGGGTGGATGAGGTGACCCAGGAGGAACTCGCTTCTCGGGGACCAGAAACTGCTCCCCTCCCCCCGTGAAGAATCTGGGGTCGGTTCCTTGGGGCTGAAAGACCAGGTTTGGGGTCACTCCGGCAAAGGTGCAAAGCACAACGTGACACATTTAGACGAATTCGAGGCACTGCGGCGAGCCCACCCCGAGCCCTTGCAATAACAGTTTCGGCTTCTCTGATGTACCCTGGCAGGAGCGTGGGGATGTTGGTGAACTCGATCTTTCCTCTGGTTAGTTGTTTTCCCGAGGGAAGAAACATGAAGAGGCTTGCACAACGCTCTCCGCTAGATAGTGATTCTTTTTCTAGAGACAGGGAGGGAGGAAACTGGGTTTTTTTTTTTTTTTTTACCTAGCTTAATGTTGTATTCAAAGAGAAGGACGAGCCTGCTAGAGTTTAGTATTAGTAGATGGCAGTTTCCTCCTCATCTACCATAAAACTATTTGGGCTGTTTTGCTGTGCCTGAAAGGGTTATACAATTATCTGTTCTCCCCACCAGCTTTCCCTTGCATGGCACACATCGCATGCAGTGGTGAGGTTTTCACAGTGATGGAAATCTGCTCTCCTAAATGATCATTCTCTAAGAGTTCACATTTCCTCCTCCTAAACAGCTGCCTTACTACAAAGGGAAATACTCATGGCCAGTCGCTCTGGTTTAACTACTAAATCAGTGTTTCAGAAGTCATGTGTTTTCCTGTAGAGTGAATTTCTGAGAGCAGTGTGGCAGTTTTCACTTAAGAACCTAAAACTATTCTTTCCCATTGCTTTGAAGAAACTGACTATATTCAAGGGAGGTGTGCAACCCCCTTCCTACCCGCCCCACTTGCCTAATTATTTAGATCATAAACTTTTATAAAACGTGTTTTTAGATGCACAAAACAAATGTATGAATGTAGAGTCAGGAGGCTTTTTCTCCCACTTGAAAGAAGGAACATTTGTTAGGCTTCTGTTACTTCAAGTTGGCATAAAAGACAGCTTCCAATTATTTCCCACATACCTCAAATGCATTTAACTGTATCCTCCATGTGCTGAGGGAGATCTCACTGCCACTGTTCCCCTCTCTATTTATCATTATAGATAACCCCTTGCAGTCAAGATACCATCAGGAAGTTAATTGTCATGTTTCCTGGTACTACGATGGCAGCCTATACTCTGGCCTGGGGGAAATTTTCTCAGTGCCCTATGAAATAGTAAACTCAGAAGTGGCATTTCACAGAATATGAGGGCTGAGCACAGAAATCAGTGCTGAATAACCCAACTGATGTTCTTCATAAAGCCACTTCAGAATTTGGTCTCCTTCTAGAATACAAAATGCCAGAGGCCATGGAATGCCCTTCCTTTGTGGGCTGAGGGCTTTGGCACTCTGGATTGGGAGTGGGGAGTAGGTAGGAGCCACAGGGACTCTGTGCAGACACTAAAGGTAGATGGTGCCCTCTTTTGGTTACACCTAGAATTATGTGTCCATTTCTGCCTTCACATGGGCATTCATATCCTATAAGAGAATTTTTATTTTTTTATGTTCAATTAAATAAGTACATGTCAGTGATTTTCTAATTTCAAGAAAAAGGAAGCTTGAAAGCTGCCTTTGCTGTTGAAAGAGAACACTAAGTTACAGCCCTATGCCTTTGGGGCCCAGTGGTAATTAAATTTTGATGAGAAAGTTGCGGTGTGCAAAGACTAATGTGGGTAGAAGGCCAGACTACTATCTTTTATTGTTTGTGGTGGGTTATCACCATTTATTTGAGTCAAAATGTTATCTCTTGATCTTCCTCCCCTACCCACAAAAAGAACAGGCATTTCATTTTCTTCTAACAGATGGATGATGGCACATTTCAGCTGTACACATTTGGCAAATAGATTTTCCACGATCTGATAGCTGGCTGGTCAGACTCATAGATAAAGAAAGTTTCTGAAATCTTTGCATAGAAGGCTAGAGCTGTTTACATGCAATTTTATTATCTATCTTCCCCAGAAAAGCTAAATCGTAAGCCAGTTCAAACATCAATATTCACTCTTTTCTTACTGATCTGCATTCCCCAGTAGGTCTTTAACAGGACCACTAAACGTGGTGGAACCACTAGAAAATCTTAATCCTCAATCTTGTCTTTTTCTCTCCCCCTCTGCCTTCCTTTCCACCCCTCCATGGGCTATAGTCTCTGATCTTACATCAGGGGCTAACAAATAAAGCTCACTCAGAAGAAAGTAAGCAATATACCAACGTGGAGAGATTAAAGCAGACAAGTATTTACAGTGTTTAATACATCTTAATCTGGCAGCAGTGATCTCTCAGAAATAAAGAGGTTCTACCATCTAATCTTATTGTAGACAAGTTACTTTAATGTGTGAGATGTGGACATTTTTGCTAATAAGGTCTTCAATGTAGGCTCCTTACGCTACTTTGATGGGTCTTTTATCAGTGTGACATGCATATAGAACTAAATCCTAAAGACTATCTTAATATTGTAAATATGCTTTCTAAGCCATTTTAAATAAAACTGAATTTTTCCTGCTGTTGCTGAAAGACATGAACATTTCATCTACAAACAAATTTCTGTCACAAGAACCAAAGAAAACGGGAGAATGTTTTCTTCATTTATGTACTGTGACTTTGCAATACTATTTAATTATACAATTATTAAAATGGGTTTTAATAAAACTGATCAAAAACCTCAATTAGCTAAATGAAGTACAGCCATCATATACTTGGGTTTTAGGAATTTAAGCTGCAGCTTCAAAATTTGAAAACATTTTCAGAATCTTCTTTGAGATAATTCAATATATTCCTGCTTCCCTTAAAGCAAAGTATTTTAAATAGAGGAAGATGCTGGTACGTTAGCAATGGTTACAAACCCTTAAATGTTATAATAGTCATAAAATTCAGATCAACCTCAAAATTTACAGTTTGTTATACAACCTACTTTTAAATTTTATTTAAAACATAATATCAATGACTTTTCTGCATTTTGATGAAGTTCTTTCTTTTTCTCCAGGATACCCAAGGTTTTGATGTTTTGTTTGTTTAGTAATTGTTTGGTTATAGGAACAATTATTGGAACTGATTAAATTAGTCTAAGTGACTTTTTTAATGTAGTGCTTCTGATTGAAACAATTTTGTAGTGTAGATTAGAATAAATATTTTACTGAATATGCTCAACTTGTGCCTGGCAGGGCTTGTGTGAGAATGAATTTTTATATATAATAAATATGATCTCCAATCTTTTTCCTCCTTACATGTTTTCTTCAGAGTAAAGAAGTTCTGATAAGCAACAAAAGATAGCAAACACAGCTGAGTTAGAAGATCGGAATCAAAATATAATCTTTATAGTCAAATAAAATTGAGTTTGATAATGGAAACACTCCCTTCCACTTGAATGAGTTTACAAGTTTAAAAATACAACACCGGTCTATGATTTCTCATAGTTAGGCTTTTTTGATCTGAACTATTTGATTGTTTTCAACTTCTAGAACATAACTGTCAAAGTCATAGAAATGATACCCAAGTAAGCAATTAACCCAATAAAGTTATAAAATTAATGACACTGCAAAATATTTACAGTTTTATAAATGATACCTAATACTACCTGTCTTAGTAAAAGAGTTTTTTGTATTTCTTCTATTAAATTCAGAACATAGTCATTTTAGCTATAAATTTAAGTCTGTTTCCAATCAATCCAAATCATATGCCATAAAATAGAAATGAAAAACAGTAGTGAGCTCTTACAAGCTCTACTGAGCAATTTTGTGAATTTTTTTTATTTTGTTCAGTTATCTATATAAATTTATAATAATGCTAAATGGTACATTTCCTTGTAAACACTCTACCACCAGTAGTTATTTCTAGTAAATTGAGTTCTTCATAAGAAGGCAAATTCCTTCCTATGAGATTCAACCTTACTGCTGTTGCAATGTTTTCCTTTCTAGAGTCTCATTTTGTAGAGAGATGAATCAGACCGACATTAAAGCCATAACTCACATAGACCTATGAAAACAAGCTGATTATCTGACCCTGTTGCTATTTTTGGGGTATCTTAGTAGAATTTCATTGGCTAAATCTACCTAGGAGTTCAAACCTAGTACAACTCTTTTAT